ATGTCTCTGGCTATTGTATTGTCACATCACATGTCTCTGTGAGCCTACAACCTCGTGGCAGGTCATGTCATCACGGGCCACGGTTCAAACTGGAAACCTTTGGATTGCAATACGCAGGGCATGTGTCTCGGTCGGCACTCCCCCCCGCTCGTCACTAGCCATCCGTGGTGGCCCAGCCTGTGGCCCAGCCTGTGGCCCTGCCTGTGGAGCATTGCTGTAAATCTTCTTCCTCCCCCTTGCATGCCTTACCACCCACCACGCAGCGACGCTCACAAAAATCAGCTCAGTGGCTCCCTGCCTGAAGGTATCGGCGCTCTCACTGCCCTGAGTCAAATGTAAGCCCCTTGCCGTCCACTGCTTCCTTGCATCGCATCCCTTCTGACTGCCTCCCTTTCCCGCCCCTCTACAATGTTCTCTTCCCTCGCTCTATCGTTTGTATCTCCCGGTCTCTCCCTCCCTACCCGTATGCTCTTTGTAACTCCTCAACGCAGGCTGCAATCCAACCAGCACACTCAATTTGATGATGCAAAGCGTGAAAGCATACTCACATCACTTGCTACTGCAGAATTCGTCAGGCATTCAATTCAAGTGCAGTGTGTTACAGTGCCTCCCTCCCTCCCGCTCCAACCACAGCAACCACAGTCCACTTGTAACGACTCCCTCTCATCCTGAAGAAATTCCTTTCCATTGCACGCTGTTTCCTCGACACAGGTATCTTGGGGACAACCAATTGGAAGGGTCGATTCCAACATCGATCACCCTAATGACTGCACTGACCTTAATGTAAGGCAGCAGCCCCAGCAAACAACGCTACATTGCATGCTCGCGTGCTCCAGACCAGACAAGGGGAATTGGACTTTCCCGATAATGATGTTCGGCACCCCTCTTACCTGCTGACCTGCTCCTTGATTTGACCCTCTCCCTAGTAACAGCCTGAGCCCGGCCAAACCCGTCCAACAGTCTATATGATCTCCATTTTGTGTCTAAGGTTTGTGCATCGCACTCCGTGGTTTTCACTGTGAAAGGTATTGTGTGCCGAACTTACTATGCAGCAGATATGGCTGAGCAGATATGTGCTTAGTTGGCTGGCTAGCCTAAAGTACCAATCCGAGGTTCGGGACAAATTGTCCCTGCTCGCTGCGTTCGTTCGTCCGGGGCTCGTTCGGCGCCTCGGGACCACGTTATCATGGACTGACCAAGCCAAAGTGGAGCTGGGTTTGAGACGGTTCAATTGCTCATCAATATCTGCTATGTTCCCTTGTTTTACACACCAGAACCTTGTACAGTGAAATTAAAAGAGCGTTACGCACTAACAATTGAGTAGGACGCCACTATAAAAAGTGGTGTAACAGTTGAGCATCTGACGAACAGTTGAACCTTGTTTGTCACGGGCCGCTCCTTGACCCGTGGCGCACAGCTGAGGTGATCTAGCAGGCTCGAGCCGGCTGCTCTGGTCGTGCCGGGCCGCAATACAAAACAAGGCTCGACTCATACTTGTCTTGAGCTGCGCTCGAGTTTTGCCAGTTGACGCAAGTCTATCAGTGCGTTACGCATGTCTGGTGCTTCCTCCCATGTCCTTCATTTCCACCACAACACTCATGCAAGGCTGGTCTCGTCTGAAACAACCTATTTCCTTTCTGAAACCGCCATCACCTCACCAATCAGTGAGCTCCAGAACAACCTGATTACGGGACCTATACCAGACGATCTTGGGAGTGTCTCCAAACTACTCGCTTTGTGAGTTCCTCTTCTCATGGCCTCACTCTGTTCCTCCTCCTCTCCTCCTTTTCCCCTTCTTCCACGAGTCGTGACCCTCTCTGTGACCCCATCCAGATCCAGCCATGCGTCCAAACTATAAGGAATGCATCCCCATTCTTGTCTCGCCCTGTGTTCTTTCTTCCTTGCAAACCCCAACTTTGCTGCTGTGCCACATCACAACACATCACCCCAGGCGTGCGTACAACAACCTCTTATCGGGTTCCCTGCCTTCCACTCTAACAAAAACGACTAATCTCCAACACATGTAAGCCTCTTGCATTGCGTTGCATTGCATGCCCCTGTGTCACTCAGCCATTTGGTGAGCACGAGCCATAGACATGACATGAGTGTAGGGCCAGGTGAGGAGTTGGCCTGGGCCCAGTTGGGAGGTCTTGTGGCACGGATGGGGCGAGGCGCCGTTGCAGTTCAGCTGAGTTGCATGCATCGCTTTCAGGCCAATGTTTTGCTGAAACTTGATAATCTGAATCTTTATCGTCTTTATAACATTTCTCGCTCTCCCTCACTCCTTGGCCGTGGCCGCTTAATAAATTTTCTGCACACCTCCTGGCCGTGTCCAACCAAGTAGGTTAGAATTACCATTAGTTTCCTGGCTCTGATTAATAGCCCAAGTTGGGAACATGCATTTGTTTGGGGCCATGCAAGCGTAATAACTCGACCTTACATGTTAATGAACGTCATCGAGCATCTGAGCAGGGTAGTGTAATAGCACTAAAGAACGGAAGAACCTCCAAGAGGCTGCAAAACTACCACTCCTCAGCGTGCCTCTCTGGATTATAGGGGTGAAGTACGAAATCTGCAGGTTGGTGCTGTTGCGGAGGTGTTAACTTGCGGTGTTTATGTAAGAATGTCAAGAATAGGAATACACATGGCAGGTAGGCAAATTTTGGTTCAGCTCGTAATGAACCGATTCGTCCCAGGCAACAGCAGGGCCATTTTTGAAATCGTGCCGGCCCCCTACCTATTGTCATGCCTTATATGCCGAGACTCGAGACTTTCTCCACACAGCCTAGGCTCACCCATTCACTTAATGGCTATTGCCGAATGTCTTGCATGTGGGCGTGCGTGTGGGCATGCATGTGGGCGTGCGTGTGGGCATGCATGTGGGCGTGCGTGTGGGCATGCTTGTGGGCATGCGTGTGGGCAAGCATGTGGGCCTGATCTTGGAGCAAGCGGGAGGCCAAGAGAGGGAAGGTGCTGCATCACTCCTTCCCTCTGCTGCATATGCGGCCTCGCTAGTGCACAAACGATTTTCTGCTGTCTGCTGCTCCTTCTCAATCGATCGTGATCCTCCTCCCCGTGTGGCCCTTCCATCCCTCCATCTCCCCTCCCGCCCTTCCCTTCCTTTCCCCCGTGCGTTTTGCATCTCTCCTCCCCACCTGCCCCTGCACCCCTTGCCTGGCACGGCAGTGAGCTGCAGAACAACAAGCTGAGTGGGACGATCCCTACCAGCCTGGCCGCTCTTACCAAACTAGAAGACCTGTGAGACATTTGCAGATGAATGCAGCATGGGCATGGACTCATGGCGTGCACTGTGCACATAAGGCATAGGGATCTGGCATGTGTTTGGTCAGTGGGTTATGGGTTATGGGGTAGATGAGATGGGATATGGCACATGGGACGTGGTGCATGAGACATGGCGCATGGGACGTGGTGCATGAGACATGGCGCATGGGACGTGGTGCACGGGAGATGGTGCATGGGAGGGACAAGGTGCATGGGACATGGTGCATGGGACATGGTGCATGGGACATGGTGCACAGGACATGGTGCATGGGACATGGTGCACAGGACATGGTGCATGGGACATGGTGCATGGGCATAAGTGCATGGTAGTAGCTGCCCTCTTTTTAGAAGTGTTTTGTTCTCATGGCGTTCTGTAGCGCACACATTGGAGAATGGAGCTACATCAGCGTAGCATGATTGCATGTCTCTTCTACCTTTGTCACTCGTGAACCACCGATATGTGTGCCATTCATCTTTTAACTTTCCTTTAAGCCCACTCAACAACCCTCCAGCTCATTTAAAAATAATCTGGTAAAGTCTGAAGCCCTTAACTGTTAGAACAAATAGACCGAGAAACTGCATACTGTGTGCGCTATGCGATCCTTCCATCACTAGATGACGTCCACTGCGCCGCCCATGCGATCCTGCTCGCTGTGTGCTGAAATCCTTCCATCACTAGGTTCGCTTCTTCTCATGTATGTTTGCCTCTCTTGTGGCCTCCTAACCACGCCCTGCCGTAGCTGCATCCGTATGCGCATTGCTTACCCACATCTCTTGCTTACCCACATTTTTCTTCTTACCCAGATCTCTTGCTTACTAATATTTCCCTCCTTTTTGATAATTTTTTTCTTACGTGCTCTCCTCTCTCTTCCCTGCTCTCGCTGCACATTCTTCCCCAGTGTTTTGGCGCACAACGAGCTCAGTGGCTCGATTCCAGCGCAGTGGACGGCACCTAATCTTTATGAGATGTTTGTCTTTCGTTCTTTCTTTCTCTCTCTCTCTCTCTCTCTCTCTCTCTCTCTCTCTCTCTCTCTCTCTCTCTCTCCTCTCTCTCTCTCTCTCTCTCTCTCTCTCTCTCTCTCTCTCTCTCTCTCTCTCTCTCTCTCTCTCTCTCTCTCTCTCTCTCTCTCTCTCTCTCTCTCTTTTGAGTGTGTGCTTTCATGTGATACCTCTACTGGGCTACGTCCGTTATGTCTCTGGACATGTCACACAGCACACCACGCACACCACACCCCTGGGCATGCCGCATCGCATCACCAGCTGCATGAGCCAGCTACCTTTGTTAGCTGCTCATCTTGACTGGTCAAATTCAGCTTGTTTTTAGTCATGCTGAGTTGTCATGCTGCTCAGCTTGTTGTCTCAACTCCCTCCCTTGTTGTAACATCCAGTGACCTGAGCTTCAACCACCTCACTGGCACCATACCGCAAGGTCTCTCTAGTCTTGGCAACCTAGGTTCGCTGTAATCCCCCCATACGCCCCAGGCTCGGCTTGTCTCCGCTTCTCTTCCAACAATATGTTGTGCCTCGGCTTGTCTCGTTGGCTCGGATATGTTGTGGTCTCTCATCCACCCAGGGCGCACTGGAACCGAATCAGCTGCTGTTGTGCTCAAGGCTGCGCCGCATTACACACCACGCCACATGCCACACGTCTGTCAGCACAGGGCAACCTCGGGCTCTAGATATGGCCTCACTGCATCGCCATGCCTCACTGCATCGCCATGCCTCACTGCATCCCCATGCCTCACTGCATCGCCATGCCTCACTGCATCGCCATGCCTCACTGCATCGCCATGCCTCACTGCATCCCCATGCCTCACTGCATCCCCATGCCTCACTGCATCGCCATGCCTCACTGCATCCCCATGCCTCACTGCATCCCCATGCCTCACTGCATCCCCATGCCTCACTGCATCGCCATGCCTCACTGCATCCCCATGCCTCACTGCATCGCCATGCCTCACTGCATCGCCATGCCTCACTGCATCGCCATGCCTCACTGCATCGCCATGCCTCACTGCATCGCCATGCCTCACTGCATCCCCATGCCTCACTGCATCCCCATGCCTCACTGCATCGCCATGCCTCACTGCATCCCCATGCCTCACTGCATCGCCATGCCTCACTGCATCGCCATGCCTCACTGCATCGCCATGCCTCACTGCATCGCCATGCCTCACTGCATCGCCATGCCTCACTGCATCCCCATGCCTCACTGCATCCCCATGCCTCACTGCATCGCCATGCCTCACTGCATCGCCATGCCTCACTGCATCGCCATGCCTCACTGCATCCCCATGCCTCACTGCATCCCCATGCCTCACTGCATCGCCATGCCTCACTGCATCCCCATGCCTCACTGCATCCCCATGCCTCACTGCATCCCCATGCCTCACTGCATCGCCATGCCTCACTGCATCCCCATGCCTCACTGCATCGCCATGCCTCACTGCATCGCCATGCCTCACTGCATCGCCATGCCTCACTGCATCGCCATGCCTCACTGCATCGCCATGCCTCACTGCATCCCCATGCCTCACTGCATCCCCATGCCTCACTGCATCGCCATGCCTCACTGCATCCCCATGCCTCACTGCATCCCCATGCCTCACTGCATCCCCATGCCTCACTGCATCCCCATGCCTCACTGCATCCCCATGCCTCACTGCATCCCCATGCCTCACTGCATCCTCTTCGTGCACCAGCCCATGCACACATCAGCCTAAACCAAAGAATGCATCCCATGTGCATTCCTCTCTGCTCCATCTCACCTCACCTCCCACCGCTGCCTCCTTGCCTGCATTCCATTGCAGTTGGTCAGATGTTCAACTGCCTCTATATTTTTGTGCCATTCGTCTCTTCTCTTTCCCCAGCGGCTTGAGTTTCAACCAGCTGTCTGGCACGATACCGGACGACATCACAGGCTTGGTCTACCTCACACTGCTGTGAGCCTCTGTTTCTTTGTGACTAGTCATTCCCCTCTTCCTCCTGCACCCCACCCGTGCTTCCTTTCCCCACCAAGTGCGTTTAGCTTTAGTCTAGTTGTTGCACAGTTCTTTCCTTCCGTGATGGGATGGATTGTCACAGTTGACCACAGGGATTGTCTGAGGGACCGGAAAATCGGTGATTTCAGTGCGGGCGAGCCGCCTCTTGATGTCAAACCCAGCGCGGAACAATTCCAACGCAAGGCTCCAACGCACGTGCCAAGCCAAGACGGTTCTCAACTCAACTACTAGCTTAGAGCCCATCACTTCGTCCTCATGTCTTCATAAAGCGAACCACTCTTGCTTTCCTCCTTCCAATCTCTCAAACTTCATCTGCCTTACATCTTGTTACATCCAGTGACCTGAGCTCCAACCGCCTCACTGGCACCATACCGCAAGGTCTCGCTACTTGTTGTAACAGCCTACGAGCTCTGTGAGTCCCCCGTACGCCTCCAACTCAGTTGTCTTTTCATGATTCCAACAGTATGATTGCTTTCTACTTTCAGTACTGCTCCCAGTCTCTAGCCACGCGAATAAGAGTTTTTGCTCCTTTCTCGTTTGGTCTCCCTCGTTGAGGTTCCCATCCTTCCATCCCCCATCCCTCCATCCCCCATCCTTCCATCCCATCCCTCCATCCCCCATCCTTCCATTTCCCATCTCTCCATTCCCCATCCTTCTTTTCCCCATCCTTCTGTTCCCCATCCTAGACTTTCCATCCTTTGACTCCCCATCCTTCGACTCCCCATCCCTCCATTCCCCATCATTCCACCTCTACCCACAGCAATCTGAGGAACAATCTGTTGACAGGGAAAGTGCTCGAGCCCGTGCCAGCATCGATTGAGACGTACAAGCTGGACAACAACTACTTGAGCGAGGGGTTCACGTCCCCCCCACCGTGCACGCAAGGCTACATCACATACCGTGCCAACTGTGCGGACAAGCCAGCAGATGGCCTTGCATGTGCAGACAGCCCCCAGAAAGCTGACCCCGTCTGCAATGCCTTCTGCGGCATCTCTGGCGTCTCCGACCCCCCTGTGCCCGCCTGCAACGGCCATGGCGTGTGCTTCTTGGACGGCCCCAGCAACACGCCCAAATGCATGTGTGACGATAACTATGTGGTTGGGGAGTTACCTGGCAGCTGCGTGGCTGTGGCAGGTGAGCCACTCACCTAAACCTTTAATTCTAAATTGCATGTGCGAATTGTCCCATGCGACGCCTTGTCTCCTTTCTGGTGACTCCATCTCTGTGCGTTCCTCTTCCAGGTGGTAGGACGGAGCAGGATTTGACGCCCACAGGAGCCATGCTTGCAGCCACTGGCGACGCCTCAGTGAATGAAGCCACGTTCACTCTCACGCCTTCCCAGTCGTCCAAGGCTGGCAGTGTGTTCCTGGCAGCGCGCGTGCCGCTCTTCTCCTACCAGCTCATCGGGGATGCATGCGGGCGCGAGCTTGCCTTCTCCTCCTCCTTCTCCTTCACTCTCACCCGTGCTGCTGCCTCCGGCTCCGAAGGCTTTGCCTTTGTCGTGACCTTTGATTCGACCCTGCCCACAACACCGGTGGCGGGCGGCATGGGGTATGCGGGGATGGGAGCGCGCAGCGTGGCAGTGGAGTTTGACACATCCAAGGATGCGGGCAACAGCGACCCTGACAGCAACCACGTGGGCATCAACACCGGTGGTAGTGTCACGTCGGTGGTCACAGCCAAGCCAAGCTTTTCTCTCAATGACGGCAAGGCCAAGTACGCCTGGATCGACTACGACCCTTCCTCCAGTGGCTCCCTGCGCGTCTTCCTCTCCTCCCAGGCGTCCCCTCGCCCCACCACCCCCCTCCTGTCGGCACGCATCTCCCTGTGTGAGGAGCTCGCGCCAACCACAGCGCAGTACACCTTTGCTATCGGCTTCACTGCTGCCTCCGCCACCCAGCCTCAAAGCCATGTCGTCTCCGCCTGGCACCTCACCACGCGTGAGTGTACCCCTGCATCCCATTCTTTCAGCTGCCATCGTTGCTTTGTTGTTCGATTGTCTTTCCGGTTTTGAACAATAGTTGATGAACAATGACTAGAGTCCTAACTCAGCGCTGTGTTTGTTTGTTTGTTCTTTTTTTTGGTTTTTTTTTTTTGTTTTGTTTTTTTTGCAGATTTCCCCGTCCAGCCAATTACAGGTACGTTGTGAAACCTTTTACAACAAGCAGTGAAGTTCAGTTTTTACCCAGTTTCATGCGCTCAGCATCGCTTATAGCAACAGTCCTCATTATGAATACCATGTGCACCCTCTTCTCCATCGCAGAGGCATCGCTGGGTTTTACCTTCAGCGAGTCAGCGCTCTCTGTGTCGGGGATGAATCTCTTTTTCCGCTATGCCAGCTCAGGCAGTGTTGCTGCTGAGAACGGCAATGACGTGTATGGCGTGCGCCCTACAGCTTCATGGGCCGCCAGGCTTGACTTCTCATGGCCTGTCAGGACTCAAACCACTTGCGGTGAGTGCTCCTGGACCTGACTCCTACTAGGAGGCCACGTTAGGCCTGAAAGGAACCCTGATACATGTCACGAGTGCTCTATGCGAGTCGCGCAATGTTCATGTCATGCCGCGGCTCAAGGCAAGCTGGCGCGGTTCGAAATTTCGGCAAACCCACAAAATTCGTTTCTTGTCGTTTCGCCCGGGCTTAGCCCAGTCCAGCCCAGGACAAAAACGAACTGGTTTGCACCAGGCCAGACCCGGTTCGACCGAATCCCATGCCATGCATTCTTTACACTCTTCTGCAATGCGGCTTCCTTATGCAGAGTTTGTACGTGACCCAGCTCGTGCTGAGCCTTCTTGGCTGACCTGACATAGGCTGTTAGTGGATTCGAACCGAACAGGTTGGATTTGAACCAATTAGGCTCCTTGGCCCATTCAAGGTTCGGCCAAGCGTGGTTGAACCGCCGGCTGTTTGACTCGTAGAGCCCATGGTTCGAAGAACATGGAGCATAGGCTTAGAGCCGTGGTTCAATTTTAAGCAAAGTTTGGGACAGCCTCGAAAAGGAATGAGGGCTGATGAGACTTGTTGATTTGATAGGATGATGAAGATGAGAGGAGCAGAGAGTGAGTGCAAATGTGAGGCATTGTTTAGGTTTTCGCAAAGACTTGCGCAACTCACCCAAAGACCTCACCAACCTGGCGAGTTGGGTGCAACCACAACAACCGTTGCACAGGCAGGACATGAGCAGCGGGAGCGTGAGGCTAGTGAGTGTCAGAATAAGTGTTGAATCGATTAATTAGAGACTAGGAAACAAGGACTTAAGTGGCACAAAGTAGAAGAGTTTGGTTGGATGAGATGCAATCCCAAGGAAATCATAGAGGGGTCCAACCAATCCAATCAACCAACCAAAGGAGGGTAAGATTTTGAATGGGGATGAGGTTGGATAGGTTGGGGATGTAAAAAGTCAACACCCAACCCAACCAAAAACCCTGAAATTGTCCCCAAAGCTCCAAAAGTCTATTTCCAACACACCCACTAGGCTGCGAGAACCTCGAGGCCCATGGCTCCAAGTGGACAATAATGGTCAAGTCGGCCAAGGGGCTTGGTGAACAAGTCAGTCAGGTTGCAGTCAGAAAAGACATATTTCACACGGAGCTGTCCATGCTGCACCAACTCTCTAAGGAAAAAGTTTCGAAGCTTGATGTACTTGGTGCGCTGATGAACACGAGGTTTTTGGTAAGATGAATGGTGCTCTCATTATCACACCAAAGAGTTGGAGTCGGTTGAGGGAAGCCAAGCTCGCCTAGGAGGAAGGAGAGCCGCCATCGTGCGCGCATATAACTCAGCTTCACACGATGAAAGGAAGACAAACGACAAGTGCATGGATTGCCATCTGATGACGCCGCTGCCAAACGTGAAGCATTAGCCTTGAGAAGATCGACGGTCAGACTGGTCGTCACAACAAGAGTAAAAAGCCTGCAGATAACGAAGAACCCGTTTTGCAGTAGTCCTGTGAAGATCCGTGAAGCGGCCAGCAACGACGAAGCGAGATAAGATGCTGATGGGATGTGCAAGATCGGGCCTTGTACACATCATGGCGTACATTAAGAACCCGACATGCTCAAGATAGCCTTCATGACAAGGTTCTGGTGATGGAGTTGGTGGAGCAGTCAGTGCGTGTTGGAGCGGAAGAGGGGTGGCGACAGGCTTGGCGTAATCCATGTCGAAGCGCTTGAGCACGTTGGACACGTATAATCTTTGGGAGAGGATGGTGGTGCGGTTGGGACGTTCTCGAATGATCTCCATGACGTGATAGTTCTTGACTTCTCCAAGGTCTTTCATGGCGAGAGCGTCACCAAGAGCCTTCTTAACTGCTTCTAGCCGAGCCAGGTCCTTTGAAAGAAGGATCATGTCGTCCACGTAGACGAGGATGGAAAATGACTCCTTGGTTATACGAATGAAGACTTGGATCAGCTGCCGAAGGATGAAACTCGAGCAACCCCAAGGTAGACGTCAAATTGTTGTGCCATTGAGCTTCAGTTCATAAATTGGACGATTGAGCTTCCAGACTTTGCAAGGCGAAAATGGTGATGGAAAGCCTTGTGGTCGTTTCATGTAGATGTCTTCAAGAAGATCTCCTTGAAGAAAAACAAAAGATACATCCATGACGTGGATTTCGTAATCTTCGGAAACACCTACGTGGAGTAGGGTGTGAAGATTGGTCAGTTTGGCTGTAGGAAAGAAAGTATCGGAGAAGTCCAAGCCTTTCTTCTGAGTGAAGCCTTTTGCGCAGTAGTGAGCTTTTTAAGACTGGTAGTTCACTTAGTAGCTGTTTGACGCGGAACACCCATTTGTCACGAACAATGTTGACTGCAAGTGGAGGTGAGACGTCGGTGTATGAGTTGGTGCGTGCGAATTTTTCACATTCTTCAATAATGGCTGTTAGCCATTGAGCGGCGTGGGGACCTGAGGCAACTTCTTATGTGGTAGGAGTTGGAATGGATGGGTTTTTATAGAAGTTGAAGGTTGGAGAGTCGGCAAGGTCTTGAAAAAGATAGCAAAACTGGCGAATTGAAGTGTTGAGGTCATTGAGCTCCTCATGACTACCTTCAAGAAGACCGGGCATAGACACGCCCCCAGCAAGAGGAGACGAATTGAGAGAGGCGAAGAGAGAGGGAGAGAGGAGGAGGCGGGCCATGTGAGCAAGTGCGGTGGGCAATGAGATAGGGAGGAGGTGGTGGCGGAGGCGAAGGAACAGGAACATTGGAAGGATCGTGGGGACGACGCTGGTAGATTTTGAGAGGAGAGGAGGTGGAAGGGGCGGAAGTCGAAAGAGGAAGCGTGGGTGATGCGAGAGAAGGAGAAAGGGGTGTGGAGGCAAGAGGTGAGGAGGCAGGAGGTGCAGAGGCGGAGGGAGATGGAGGTTTGGACAGGGTGGATGGTGAAGCAGCGGAAGAGGAAGGAGGGGAGGAGAAAGTGGGTGTTGGAGAGGGGGATGGGTCAAAGTCATCCCACAAAAGAGTGGGGAAGGTGGGGCAGACGGAGAAGATGCGTAGAAGGGTCGCGTTTCATCGAAGACGAAGTCACGACTGCGGATGAGTTGGCTAGTGACAGGGTTGAGGTAGTCCGCAGAGTTGAGATTATGACCAAGGTAGACACACGTCTGGGTTTTGTGAGCCAATTTGCCTCCTTGGGCTTTGTGGTCTTGAGCATTGAGTAGAACGTAGGCGATGCACCCCCATACGCGGAGAGGGCGTACAGACGGCTTAAAGTGGGTCCTTAGCTCAGTGGGAGTGACGTCGGGTCAAAGGGGGTGGGGGTAGAGGTTGTAAAGAAAAGCCATGCATAACTCCGCAGGGATGGAGGAGCATTGGCATGCGTGAGAAGGCAGCGAGCAATTTGCACTGGGGTGAGATTGTGGCTTTCGACGACGCCATTTTTCTGCGGGCCGTGAGGGAGAGTCAAGGTTTCATGAATGCCTTGGTCAGAACAAAAAGCCTCAAGAGTGTGATTTTGGAACTCACCACCCCCATCCGAGTGCAAACGCTGGACTTGGGTGCGAATGTGGTTTTGGCTTGCTGAAGCCAGGCGATGACGATGGCTTGCAGGGCGACGGGCGGCACCCAACAATGAGAAGAAGCGCCGCTGCAGGGCGACGGGCGGCAGCCCGACGTGAGCTGAGGTGGGGAGAAGGGCGAGATTCTGCTGCGCTGGAGCGTAGCGAAGGGCGAAAAGCTGCTGGAGCGTAGCAAAGGGCGAAATGCTGCCCTGAAGCAATTACATCTTGACCAAAAAGATTTAAGATATCTAAAGCTTCTGCGTAGCGAAGAGTGAAATGCTGCCCTGAAGTGTAGCGAAGGGCGGAATGCTTCCCTGACGCGGTGGGAAGGGCGAAATGCTGCCCTGGATCGTAGCGAAGAGCAAAATGGTGCCTTGAAGCTTGGCAAAGCGTGGAATGCTAAGATAGGGGTTGATTACGCGCTCTTAGGAGAAAGTGGTAGCGTCGCCCTTGTGACGGAAGGATCGAGATCCGCATAGGCGGAATAGGAGCTCTGATACCATGTCAGAATAAGAGTTGAATTGGTTATTTAGAGACTAGGAAACAAGAACTTCAGTATCACAAACTAGGAGAGTCTGGTTGTTTGAGATGCAATCTCAAGGAAATCCTAGGGGGATTCAACCAATCCAACCAACCAACCAATCAACCAAAGGAGGATAAGGTTTTGGTTAGGGATGATGTTGGATAGGTTGGGGATAAAAAATTGTCAATACCCAACCCAACAAAAAACTAAACTTGCTAAAAATGTAAACCCTAAAACTTTTAAGGCTAACACACAAAGTGCAGCATTTCTCCAAAAGCATGCTGCAGCTACAGTGTGATAATAGTGCTCCTATGCCTTCCACGTGTTTGCTCTATACAACTTCCACTACCCACGTGTTTGCATTTCCTGGCAGGCGACTGCTGGGCGTACGCAGTGGTGGGCAGCGTCGAGGCGGCATACGGCATAATGTCCAACCTTGCAATGGCGCCGGTGCTGTCAGTGGAGCAGCTGAAGGCCGCCATGAAGGTCGGCTGCTCTGGCAGCACGCCCTCTCAGGCCTTCCAGCTGCTGCTCAAGCTGGCGCAAAAAGGAGGCGGGCTTGTGTTGGAGAGCCAGGCGTCGGCCGGGAATTCCAAGAAAACGGAAAAGAAGACAGGCAGCAGCAATCCTCTCTGCTCTCCGCTGCTGAAGCCACTGGCGAAGCTGCTCGGTGTGTCGTGCGGGAACGGCACCTCTAACCCACGTGTGAGTGAGGTAGTGGTTGTGAGAGCTTAGTACAGCATGGCGGATAGACTCAAAGGAATGATGTTTCGTCCTTTGAGCAGTAGGTTTCTACGCTGAGTGTATGCTGTTCCATGCCAGAGCTCTGTGTGCTCTGGTCCTCGCTCGTCCATGCTCGTTCATACCCCATCCTTCCCATCCCCAAGCAGCTCCCGACTCCGTTCCCCGTCAAGGGCTTTGAGTCGACGTCCTTCTACGGCTGGTTTGGGCTGCTGCTGGCCGTGCAGCGGCAGCCAGTGGTGGTGCACATTGAGGCGTCGGCCGACTCGTTCAAGAACTACGATGGGGTGAGGCGCGCAGTGAGGGTGTGAGTGAATAAGAGAGTGAGTAAATGGATACGAGGGTGTGTGAGAATGAATAGGGGTGTGCGAGTGAATGAATAGGAGTGTGCGTGTGAATGAATAGGAGTGTGCGTGCAGAAGCAATCATTGTCTGCTCCTGTTCTTTCTAACCCTCCCTTCCCATACACATGATGCCCTATCATAAGCACGGGGCAAGTCGCTCATTACCTTGCCGTATCTTACCCATTCATCTCTGCCTCCAGCTGTCCAAGTACGCAGACCCCGATTGCTTCACGTACAACCTGAACCACGTGGTGCTGCTGGTGGGGTACCGCCTGGTGGGCAAGGACTCGCGCTTCCCCCACATGGCGCCGCCCTTCTGGATCATCCGCAACTCATGGGGGCCTGACTGGGGCGATGGGGGCCACATGCGCATGGACATCCAGGGGGGGGATGGCGTGTGCGGCATCAACTCACTGCCAGGCCTCTACCCCGTGGTCAGAGGTTAGTGAATACGTGGATCCTTGTTGCATATCTGTTCGACTCATTATGCCATTCCAGGCTTCAGAACCTGCTTCTGTTAGGGTGAGTGTTGTACCAACCAATGGTGAGTGTGCGGTCAGATTTGAGTGAAAGCACGGCCGGGGGTGAGAGAGTAAATGGTCAAGGGTAAATGGTCAAGAGTAAATGGTCAAGGGTAAATGGTCAAGAGTAAATGGTCAAGGTAAATGGTCAAGAGTAAATGGTCAAGGGTAAACGGTCAAGAGTAAATGGTCAAGGGTAAACGGTCAAGAGTAAATGGTCAAGGGTAAACGGTCAAGAGTAAATGGTCAAGGGTAAACGGTCAAGAGTAAATGGACAAAGGAGAGTATGAGAAAAAAGATGAGTGCACAGTCAAGAGTGAATGAGTACATGTTTTTTTTTTTTGTACACCAATTCAACTCGTAACGCCGTCTCAGTTTCAAATCCTGCTTCTGCTAGTTTCAGAACCCTCTTGTCTTGCTTCTGCTCCTTGCCGGCCTCCTTCTACCTACAGCCGAAGACCCGTGCAACATAGCAGCCCGCGGTGATGGAAATGGTAAATCGCTCTTCAATCCCTGCGGCAAGTTCACTTGCACTGTGAAGGGCAAGACAAACGAGTGTGACTGCAACGACCCGCGCTTCATCCAAGCAACCAACGCCGATGGCTCTCGCACATGCGCCTACAGTAAGCCTCTGCTGCTGCTGCTGCTGCCGCCGCTGCTGCCGCCATTGCCGCCGTTGCCGCCGCCGCCGCTGCCGCCGCCGCTGCTGCCGCCGCTGCTGCTGCTGCTGCCGCTGCTGCCGCCGCTGCTGCTGCCGCCGCCGCCGCTGCCGCTGCAGCTGCTGCTGCTGTCGCTGTCTGTACTTGTTTGATGCTGTTTTCTGACGTTCCACCACCATGTTCTCTCATTCCTCTCCTTCCCTCTTGCTCTCCTCCTATCCCCTCCCCATCCCGCACCTCTCATCCCTCTCTCCTCTGCGCTTCTCATCAGAGGATGCATGCAAGGCAGCCCTGCGCAATCCGTGTGCGGTGGGGCAGTGTGTGAATGACGGGGCGGGGTCGTACTCGTGTGTGTGTCCACCGGGCTTCAGGCAGGGCACCACCGTCGAGGGCACTTACTCCTGTGCTCCAGGTACCTTGTTTGTGCTGTCGTGTGACATGAGGATGAGGGTGTTCTCTCAACTACAAGTAATGAAAATATGGACACGTGCCTTAGCACATGATATGCCTCTTAAGGCGCAGTATGCGGCCTAATAAATATGTTGGCCCTCTTTGCTCCGGTACGCTGCACCTGTGGCTGACCACCAACTCTTAGAAGACAATGGTGTGCCAATCCTTGCACCAGTTTCAGACTAGACTTCTCACTTTTTTTTTTTTTTAATATATTTTATTTTTTAAATCGGGGTTTCTATTAGGATGTTGTAGCAACACCACTCGGCCATGCATTGTAGGAGTTTGTTTTGTTGATCGCGACATCCATGAGTGGTCGTGAGAGTCCAACACAACAGACACGGAAACACCACGTTGTCATGCCAAGTCTCGAGCACATCACGCACAGACTAGAGTGTGGGTGGCTTAATCGTCTGCTGTCTCTCCAATCCCACCGTGTGTGGGTGTGGTGCGACAGCCAGGGTTGTCTTTGGGAAAGTGTGCTACCGAGCCCGTCTTGCTTTGGGTGTTGGTCTGCCCTGGACCACATTTGGTCCGAGGCTGGTCCAAAGGGCTGTCGCGTGTCCTGCGTATCTGCCCTTTGTGTCTGCCCTGGGGACCAGAAATCGTGTGCAGGGGGACTCGGAATGGGTTGGGCTCGAATAACGGAAGGGCGGACCAAAACATGTCACACACCCTCGTGTTGACAGGGAATCTCCCCATGGGAAAGGAGGGACTGACTGACAGGGACACCAAGCCAGGTCTTGGGTTCAGTTGTTCGCTGAATATCCACGGACAGTTGGAAATTGAACAGGTTTGGCACGAAAAGCGAGTACAGGGCAGAATCTCGTGCAGACTTGCAACACCTAAAGTTCCCTGTGCCCCACAACAGAAGCACCGCAGCGCAACAAATGAATGAGAACATAGTACTCAAAAACAGTAATTGGAAAAAACGCTGCCAGAGCTTAAAACGTTTTGTGTGCCCATACTTAATGGATTTATTCCAGAGGTGCGTTCACCTAATTGACATGCACGTAGACATGCGGACCAACGAAGGTCCCAGCGGCCGTGTATGCGTGGATGCTGTGCTGTGTGCCTCCCGATTACTCACTTCTGTTGAACCTTCTGTATTTCTATGTTCCATGCTGTGCTGCATGCTCTGCTGCATGCAGGTGACACCAGCAACACCTACACCGTGCTCTCTCCTAACGTCCGCTGCTCTGATGTCTTCCCGGTCTATGGCCTCACGCTCGCCGATTTCCAAACCCAGAACGTGCGTTACCCCTGGCACCCTTAGAGACACTTCAAAAATCATACAAGCGAATTTGTAGGACCAAAACATGAATCTCCTTTTCCCACAGCTCATCATCTTCCTTGTCTTTTTGTCCCTCGACTCGCGTGCAAGCTCCTTCCTCCCATGCCTGCCCGGGTGTGTCCGTACTGTGTCTCTCATGCCTCTCCTCTCCCTCTGTGTGTGCAGCCATCGGTGTCGTGTGCAGCACCCATCCCACCCAACACTGTGCTCAACGTGGCCAGCCCAACCACTCTCATTCCCTGCTCCATCTTCTACACCACTCAGAAGGTCCCCACCTCCCACCCTTCCTGCCAATACGCTACTCCTGGTCGCCTTTTATCTGCCCCTGCACCCATCCTTGTGTGCCACTCCTCATCCTACCCTCCTCCATCTCACTCCAACTGCCATTTTCTGACCTCACAGTGAACGTTTCTTTCATCTCACTTCCCTTCACTGGCTGGAGCCCTCACACTCTCTCACTCCTGCTTCCCCTGCCTCCCACCTCCTACTCCCTCACCATCTCATACTCAGGGCGACACCTGTGCGGATCTAGCGATGTACTTCAGAGTGCATTGGTCCTGCGATTGGGACGCTGCCAGCTGCACGGCCAACTTCCAGGCGCTCAACCCCAGCTTGGACTGCAGCGCCAACGGCGGGGTGCTGCAGCCCGATCAGACAGTGTGTTTGGAGCGCGAGAAGGATAACGTCGGGCTCATCCCGGTGTGCTCGCAGTACTACCTGGTGCAGAGCGCAGAGACGTGCGAGTCCATCCGCAACGTGCCCTACCCCCCTCTGGCCCCCAAGGAATTCTTCCGGCTTAACCCCGGCATGAAGTGTGACCGCATCATTCCAAAAACCGACGTTGACGGCTTCACTGGCTTTGAGGTGCGTGTGTGGCAGTGCTTCAGCCTTCCCTGTGAATCAGCCTTCCTTCCTCTATCTCTATCAATTATCTGCCTGTCTTCTCCGTCATGCATATTGCCTAGCTGATTCCCTCATGACTGTTAGCCTACTGGCTCTCTTGTGACTATTCTTCTTTTCTTCTTCACTCCCCCACTCCCTTCCCCCACCCACCCCACCCCCCCCCCCCCCCAGGCATGCATTGCGAGCTCCACGTCGTACAAGCAGGGCACGTGCCCGCGTGCGAATGCGTATGTGGTGGGGACAGGCGACAGGTGCACGGCCATTCAGGTGAAGTACTTCCGGGGCATCAAGGGCTGCTACAAGCACATCAACGGATACGACTGCATCGACAAGCTCATCAAAGCAACCCGCGTGTGTCTGCCTGACAAAGTTAAGCTTGCGAAAGGAGTCTGCGACAATTGACCTCCTGAAGGCTGCTTCTGCATTTGCCATGCTGGCCAGGTCTGGCCCGGCGCTGCCCCTAATCTAACGGATCTCAGTTTATGCCCAACATGATGCTTCATCCTTTACATGGACTGTAACAGTTCTAGCCTTGTTAAATCCCGTAGGCAAAATAGTGACCCCAAGTTTCTGGTTGGGTCCAACTAAAAGACTTGGAGTCACCTTGGTTGGGATTGGAAAATTGAGATGTTTTGGTCCTTTTTCTTTTTTCTCCTCCCAAGAAATGTTCGGGAGATGTTGCTTCTCCTGTGCTTGTGTCTAGAGCAGGGCTGATTTTATCAGACAAAAATGGTCTGATTGTCTGAAATCAGAGACTATTTTTCACTGAATCCTGATCTTCCAGAGTTGGTGAATTTCCAATACTGAGCACCTCAGAGTTGTGGTTTTAGCAATACTGGGAATTTCAGAGTAAGGGCTGTGCCAATAATGGGCCTTCAGACTAAGAAGCGTACAGATCCTGAAATGCGAATCCATACTTCCTAGGAAGTTTCCGCAACGTCACATGTTGCCGTGCCATCATGACAAAGCCTTCGTTGTCACATGCGAAATCTGAACTTGGCAGGTTTGCCACCCCCTCTGTGGTCGGTCCCTCTTGTGCCTTAAACGTGGCAGCCGGGATGGTGCTGCCAAGCTGTGTCAGTGGCAGAACTGCACCGTGCCATCACTACGCGCTCTCGTGCTGCCGTACTCGTGCCCTTTAATCTTCCTCTCATGTAGCTTGTACTTGTGCGTCACTGCTTCGCCTTCGCTGTCAACTCCACGCACCTTCACCTTCTTCGACGCACTCCTCCTGTGCAATTTCAGGAACTCTGACAGCGCCGGGCTTTCTCCAGCTCCCATCAAGCCCTCGCACTCCAGATAGCGCCTGCGCAGGTCCCCCATGGCCTCGTCAATGTCCTTGGCGATCTCGGTCACGTCGACCTGAACGGGATGTGAAGGCGAGCAACACATGTTAGTGACGGGTTTGTATACAGAGGGTTGATAAATCAAGAAACAAAGGCAGTCATCCTTACCTCACGCTTCTGAAACTTCACGTTGAGCTCGTTCATGATGCCAAGCACATCGGCAAGAAAGAAAAGGCAGAATTGAAACTTGTACGAGGTGACCACATCGTACAACTTGTGCTTGCTCTCATGCAAGAGCACGATCGATGCGCCGAGGACCTTGCAAAAACGACGAACAGCCACACCACGAGACAGCCACCTGACCGCGTGGATGCCTTGGACTTCAAGGTTCGTTTTGTGAATCGTTCGCTGCAGGTACTGAAAGCGCTGGCTGACGTTGCTGGAGTTCGTCAGTAGAGAAGCCACAGCCCGAATCACCTTGTCAATCATGGCCAGGTTTGGACATGCAAGGGCAGTGTCCTTTACCGCTAATGCTTCCCTGCACATGAAACACAAAACACGAAAACGGTTAGTACAGGGTACCGGTACATGTGAAAATGCAATCGAGCAATATTCTCAAACCAACGAACCTGTGCGCGATACAATGTGAGGAAATCAGGTGTGGGATGTACTCTCGTAGACGGGTGACCAGGCCGTTGTCACACCCTACCATCACCGAGGCGCCGTCGGTGCTGATAGCGCAGATGCGGTTGATGTCCACTCCGACTGTCTGCAAATGACTCATGATGACCGATAGCAGGGACGCCGCGTCACACTTCTCAACCGGTAGGTGCGCAAAGAACTCTGTAACGGGACGGTGGAAGCGAAGGAACGTCAAGTAGAGGATGAGGTGTTTCCCTCGCGTGCGATCCGTGCTCTCGTCGCAGCTGATGCCCAAAAACGGAGAGCTCTGGATATGGCGCAGCTGAGTTGCGAGAAGCAGAGATGAGAGGCAGTGCACCATCTCTTGGAACCCGTACCTGCATGGAAACATATCAAGACAAATGCGTTAGTACAAGCAACAGTATGAACTTGATTCACTCTTAGGCACAACCGGTACTCACCGTGTAAGATACACCCCGTATGCCTGCCTGGGAATATCCGGCGTGTCCTGCTCAGACATGAAACGCAGCAGGCGAGCGAACATAGAGATCGGAGCATCGACCTTACAGATGAACTCAGTGGCACGCAGAAGGCGTACCACCCTCCGCCCCTCCACGTCCCTCGTTGTGAAATCCTCGATTTTCTTCTGCTTGCCGTCCAGCGACTCCTCAATCTCCAACTGCCGCTCAACTGCCTCTTTGTGGACGTTGGAGTGCTCGTGTATCCGCATCGTTTGCGTTTGTAAGTCGCGCGCACCGTCGCCAGGGCTTGAATACTTGGTGGTTTCCTTGCCAAAGGCACGGCAGATGCAGCACTTGAGCGAGGGATGCCCATCTTTGGCACGCACTAGCAGAAGCCACGGGAAATACGGAAGCCACTTCGAGTGGTAATTCGCCTCCGCCAAACGCCACTTCTGCTCAATCTCCTCCTTCTTAGACAGTTTGGGAGGAGGTGGCTTCTCGGGCGTTGCCACAGCCGGCGCTGAAGGGGGTGGAGGTGGAGAGGGTTTGCGGAATCTACCGCCAATATCCATCTTGCTCTGAACCCATTTCTGGGTACTAGCCTTCTTTGGAACTGTTTTGGTGACGGACGGCAAGCTGTACCGAACTGTAGATGCAGTGTGCACGGTGACTGGGATGGGGCCCTTACTAGACGACGCTATGGCGGGCGCTAAGACTATTGGAGTTGGCGAGGGTGGAGCAGGCGTGGTGGCAGGTATTACTGCCGTTGCTGCGGGGCGTAGGCAGTCTAGCCCCGACCTACCCACAACCTCCTTGGTAGTAGGGGGGTCTGCATCTTGGTCCGCCATGAACACAGTCACTCGAACACAAATTGGAACACTGCTGGGAGAGCCAGCCGAGAAAACATACTCAACACGGTGAAGGGAGCTGTGACCCCATGGGACCCCATGGTCCTTAACCCAACTGATGGGTGGCTGGCTGTTGCCGTTGGTATCGAGCCGCCATGCCCGTCACCCTCGCAGTGCTGTCACCCAGGACTTGATGACGTTCTGGCGTGAGAATCCACGCTCGCACTCGACGGTTGACAGCGGCATCACGGCAGTTGCTTGCCACATCCGCATGAGGTTGGGCCAGCGCCTGCAAATCCGACACACAAGCGTAAACATAGCTATTAGCAGAATGTTACAATTGCGTGAGATGCACGGCTATACAAGACACATCTTTGTCAGAGGTCCACTGGAGATCCCCGATGATCCTAGGGAAGGGTTACAGGCACGTCGGCCTGGGGGGTTATGGGCGCACTCACCCGCTATATAAACAAGCCCTTTTATCCCAGTGGTTAGTGGCTGGGATTCTGACATTGTATCAGAGCGAAGGTCTCGGGTTCGATTCCCGGTGTGTGCACTTCGGGCATCCCAGTGCGGGGGGGTGTCAGAGGTCCACTGGAGATCCCCGATGATCCTAGGGAAGGGTTACAGGCACGTCGGCCTGGGGGGTTATGGGCGCACTCACCTGCTACACAAACAAGCCCTTTTATCCCAGTGGTTAGTGGCTGGGATTCTGACAATCTTATTACATACCTGGAGGACTCAGCCACACCCATGAAGTTCTTCAGCCCTTGAAAAAACCCCTCATCCTCGTGGTGCGCCGCCATGATAGGAGCCCACGTGGCAAGCTCCTTCTCGGCTGCTTGCAGGTCGAAGCCAGGGAGCTTGTTGTTGAAGATCGCCGCGCATCCGTGCAGGTACTCTCGGGTCTTGCGGTCGCGCTGCTGCCGCGGCTTGGGCCACTTTGCTGCGCGAAACAGCTTCGTTGGTGCCAACCTTCGTAGATCTGCAAGGCGGAAGTTCAGCCGGTTCACACACTCCTGTGCGAACTTCGTGCACAGCTTCTCGCACTCCGCGCGCCTGGCGGAGCTGATGACGGTGTCCCTGCTTGACTACGAGATTGACTGGACTGCGGCCCTCGCCAAATGGCGTGAGAAGCCAAGGCGCCCTGCGAAGACTCCAGTCTTCGCAGCAGCAGAGAGGAAGCGCAAGATGAAGGAGCTGGCGGACGACCAGGAACGGGAGAGGGTAGTGCGCGGTCTGGAGTGGGATCGTGATGAGTCGGATGAGGACGAGGAGGAGGAGGCCTATGATGAGGACCAGGCGATGCTGGACGACGACCCTTTCCGCGAGGTGGACGAGGAGGAGGAGGAGGCCTATGATGAGGACCTGGCGCTGGGCGACGACGACCCTTTCTGCGAGGAGGATGAGGAGGAGGATGTGGAGGAGATAGCCATGGATCAGCCTGAGAGTTAGTGTATCTGGCGTGTGTGAGTTACGTTTGGTTCGGTGGTAGCTCGGTAGAAGTAGGTAGATAGGAGAGGAGCATTGTACTCTGCCTGATTTATTGGTAGGTAGGTAGGTAGGTATGTTGGTACGTTGGTAGATATCTTAGGATGGATGAGTCGCATACTCAAAGGACAGTTACCAGGAAATTTTAACTTAGATTCGTTTTAGTCTGATCTTGGATTTTGGAAAATGACCACTTCAGACTGAAAGTTCAACGAATCCTGTGAAATCAGACTACCCCAAGTTGGAAAAAATGTGCCTCAGACTAGACGAAAAATTCTGGTACATGCACACAGGGTGGGTTTTTTTGAAACGTCGGGAGTCCCCGATTATTCCGCGTGCTGTATCACCTAGCCGTTTTTGTCGAACAGCTGTCGAACGAGCACCAATCCATGTGCCTTTAACCAACACAGGGTAGGTATGTGTTCACCGCCGTTATTCGGCATAGTAGGTCGACTGCATGAGTCGGAACAAGGACTTCGTGGTAATGGTGAGGTTCGGGCGACGGAGGCCGTAGGTCGTTTCTATTGGCTTTTACCCTGCCCCTCATGTCGTTCTTCACCCATGATTAGCCGTCAGCAGTTTCTTCCCGTGTGTCCTAGCGGCCTGTACCACACTCCTCCGAAAATAGCGGGGTGGAACTGCGGGCCCACCGTTAAATGCTGCCCTGCCCCGCACGATTGCTCTGCACCGCACGTTCCCTGTTGTCCTGCGCTTTCGTTACCCCGCACGCTGCCTTGCGTGCTGCCTTGCGTGATGCCTTACGCGCTGCCCCGCGCGTCGCGACCCCGCTGCCCAGTACAACGCGCGCTTCGTCGCTCGCCGCTCGCCGCGCCGCGCCTGCGCGCTGCCCGCGAACTGCCCTGCCTTGCCTGTGCGCTGCCCTGCCGCGCTACCCGCACGCTGCCTTGCCACGCTGCCCGCGCGCTGTCCTGCTGCGCGCCTTGCCCATTAAGCGACGCGTCTGCGCGCTGCCCTGCCGTGAGCCCGAGCTGCCTTTATTGTCGCCCGCTCTGCAGCGCTGCCGCCCGCGCTGCTGCCTGCACTGCTTCGTGCTGCAGCACACCCAGCCGCACGCCGCCTTGCAGCGTCCTGCCCTGCGCGTTGCCCTGCTGCCCTGCGCGCTGCCCTGCTGCCCTGCCCGAGCGCTGCTGCTCGTGCTGCTGCTGCCTGCCCTGCTACGCGACCGATCTGTCCGCCAGCCGCTACCCTAACTGCGATGCGACTAATAGAATGGGAGTACAAATAGGAAACCCTAGAAAGCTATACCTTCTAAGGCTAGCCACACTGAAACCTATCAATGTGTCACCATACTGTTTTGACAATACTCAGACAAACCATTTCCGTATTCCTCGCAAGCCATCAGGGCGTTGACAAAACATGAATTTTTGTTAATAATATAAAAAAATACAGATTGTGATTCGATTTGAAGAGGGGTGTGCTGTAAAGGAGACAAGCTCCTTCATCTCTCGGCAGGTCTTTGAGACCTGCCACCTAGTCTCATTTGCAATTTTCACATCTCTTTCTTACCACCAGCACACTCAAAACCCCTCATATGCCCAGATCTGGGTATAGGAGTACTTTGTTAGAAGACGTCGTTTCTGCTCGTTTAGCCACAATGGCTAGCAGATTTATTTCTGCTGTGGCTGGAAGACCTCCTACTCACATGAATTTAAGGAGTAACGGACGTCGCGGTTCACCCACGCGTGAGGGAGATCTTGCCTCGTCCCTCCGTGACCGTTCTCGCTAGCCTCGTCGGGAAGCGGCAGGCACAATTACCGCTCTCGACTTGCTGAATGGGTCACGACAAGTCAACGCTTCGACTTCCCAAAATGTCGGAGCTGATGGTGTGCGCGATCTACCCCCCGGTTTTAACGGCGAACGGCAGGTTGCGGGCGAGCGTATCAACACAAATCCGGTAGGCGGAAATGTTACGTCACGTCCCGAACGGTCGCCAGCACCCGCTGGGGACGGCCCACGCGCGGCACCCCACGAGCAGGAACGGGCGCGATCGAAATCTGGACTGCGAAAATCATGAGCAAGGGCGCGACCACAATCTTGACCGCGAGAATCGTGAGGTGGGAGGCGGCTGAAATCTTGACCGCGGGATTCGAGGGCTGGGGCGCGAGCAGAATCTTGACCAGCACCCCTAGCAACCTCGAGATCCTGGGAGGGCAGCTCGTGGCAAAAATCGTGAGGAGGGGCGCGAGCTAAATCTTGACCAGCACCCCAACCAAGTTCGAGATTCTGGGAGGGCAGCTCGTGGCGAGAATCGCGGAGAGGGGCGCGAGCATAATCTTGACCAGCACGCGCAGGCACATGCGCGAAATTTTATGGACGCCAGGCGAGAAGATCGACGCCCGGATTCTGCCGCTCGTCGAGCGAATCAACGCACCCCGCAAGATGCGCGCATATCCAACTCGGGAGCTGCCGATTTTGCAGAGATCCTGGCGCATCTGGATCTTGACGCTCAGCAAATCCTTCAGCGAATCTTCACGGGAGGTGCCACCGGCGAATGCGCTGCAGCCCGCTCCGCTGCATCTACAGCACCCCGTTCTGCAGAAAATAATTCTGCACGTTATACCGACAACAACATTCCAACTACCAACAACGACGCAATCCACCACGTAATCGGCCTCCTCTCCGCGCTCCAGCGTGAAAACCATGGCGAACCTGCGCCACCACCTGAACCTACTCGACCGCCTACAGCGACAGCACCCTGCGCTCGCAACCCTCCTCCCGCCGACGAACATGACGGCGAAGACGCGGATGCCGACCTACACGCCGAGAGCCCGGAGGAAGGTAATGCTGTTCGCCCCAAGTCGGGTTCCGCCAACCTCACCCTTGCCCCTCTTCCCCCCTCGAGCCCCCAATTGCTCTCGTCTTTGGTGAAGAGTGATGGAATTCATACGCAACTTTTCAGTTTTGAACATATCCAAGCTATTGCACGTCATGCCATGTTTGCCTTACCTTCACATGGCGGCGAGCAAGCCGCCGATTACCTTCAGCAGATAGTAGAGGAGGCAGAGGAAAAAATCCACTTTCTCTTCACCGCGGACCAACGCGGTTTTGAAGTGGCCAACATTGCCCTAAAGATTATATATGGAGAAGTGCTTGAAGACAAGAATGTGAAGGCCGCTACCCAGATTGTGGTGGCCAGTAAGAAGAGGCCTACTCGGCCCACCAACCCAAGCTCTCGCGCCGATCCTCCCCCCCGTAGAAGAGGGCAGGGAGAACGTCATTGGAACACATGGCGTCGAGACGACGACGGGCGGTGTTTTTATTGCCGCGAACCTGGCCATGGGATTGCTGATTGCCCACGGCGGGGTCAAGGGGCCAATAGGCCTGCTAAGATTGATTAAAGATTGTTTTTGAATTATGAGTCCAACCATTGATTGTGGATTATTATGTCAAATGTTGTAGCCTATAGTGAGGTTTGTCTTAGGGGGTACAAAACTTAGGGTTAGCTATATGTACCCCAACCAACATCAATGCATCATCCATTCTTCATTTTGACATGGTATCAGTTAGGTTAGGATCCTGTGGGATCCCGTTCCTCCGTTCTCCGTTCGAGCCTCCCGAGCCTGATCCTAGCTCTCATTCGTCCCGGTTCCGTTGTTACCGCGCGTAGTGCCGCGCCTAGCGCCACTCCTAGCGTCGCGTCCTGCCCGCCCTTTCCCCCTCGTCGCGTCCCTTTCCCCCCGTCGCGTCGCGCCCTTTCCCCCCAGTCGAGTCGCGCCCTTTTCCCCCCGTCGCGTCGCGCCCTTTCCCCCCGTCACGTCGCCCTGCCCCGTCCCGTCGCCCTGCCCCGTCGCGTCGCCCTGCCCCGTCGCGTCGCCCTTCCCCGTCCCGTCGCCCTGCCCCGTCGCGTCGCCCTGCCCCGTCGCGTCGCCCTTCCCCGTCCCGTCGCCCTGCCCCGTCGCGTCGCCCTGCCCCGTCGCGTCGCCCTGCCCCGTCGCATCGCGCCCGCCCTTTCCCCCGTCCCGTCGACCCTACGCCCTGGCCCGTCGCCCTAGCCCGTTCTTCCGCTGCGACTAAGTCCCCCCCCCCCCCCCCCACCTGAACCCTAATTTGCCTCTTACCTCCTGCTGTTACTCGCCTGCTCGTTCGCGTTAGTTCTCGCTATGGCGACTCCGCGAGTTCTTCGTTTCGACGCTGACGGTAGACCTCTTGACTTTTCCGTCTGGCTTCTTCGCGCTCGCCGTCTGTTAGAGAGTCAAGTCCAGGGGGGCGAGACCCTCTGGTCGCACGCTACTGGTGACCTCCCCGAGCCCCCCGAGCCTGCCGCTTTAGGTCCTGCCCCTGACGATGCTGCTACGGCTCGCTTTGCCCGTCAGCGCGCTGACAGGACGGCTTGGACGTCGCGTGACGCTGCGGCCTGCATCGCACTCAGCAGCCTCCTCCCTGAGTCAGAGGAGGTCCACTTCACTCAGGTTCGCACCGCTGCTGCGTACCTCACTGCGATTAAGGCCCGCTACTCTACTCCCGCTACTGTCTCTCTTGGCCGCCTTTTCCTCCCGTTCCTGTTTCCTGATCTCGCCTCGTTTGAGCGCTCTGCTGACTTGATCGCTCACCTCCGCTCGCTCGACGCTAGTTACCGCGCTGCTTGCACTGAGGCACAGCTTGCACTGCTTCCTCCCCCTATGGCGATTACTATCTATTTCATCGCCACTAGCCTCCCTGACCGCCTTGCCTCCGTTCGCGACGCGCTTCTGCTGAAGCACCCTAGTGAGCTCACCGTCGATGTCCTTGAGTCTGCACTCAAGGACGTCGAGAGCAACCTTCGCTCGGTAGCCGCTGCCTCTGGTGCTGTGCCCCCCCCACTCTTCCACGGGTGCACAGTCCCGCAGTTACCCACCTTTACTGCCTCACTTGCCACTGCCGCTACTGACGCGACTGCAGCTGCTGTTACGACTGCGTTGCTGTCCCGCGGTAGGAGTGGCAAGAAAGGCGGTTCTGGTGGTGGT